AACACAGAACCAACAAGACCGAGTTCCAAACACAGAACCAACCAGACCGAGTTCTCAACACAGAACCAACAAGACCGAGTTCCAAACACAGAACCAACCAGACCGAGTTCTAAACACAGAACCATCAAGACCAAGTTCTCAACACAGAACCAACAAGACCGAGTTCCAAACACAGAACCATCAAGACCGAGTTCCAAACACAGAACCAACCAGACCGAGTTCTCAACACAGAACCAACCAGACCGAGTTCCAAACACAGAACCTTCAGGAGTTTGATTTAAATACTAATAAAATTAAAGAAGAGCAGGTTTACAGACGGACCGGGCTGAGCCGCCGGGCTGCGGGTCAGGACCCAGACCACCCTGGACTGAGATGAAGTTAGAACCGATCCAAAAGAACCTTGGTGCCAACAGTGCTGGCTACGGTGTTGGACCTGTCAATCATCATGAACTGTAAACAGTGACCTCTACTGCCGACCTCACAGTGACATCATCGACGGTGTTAGGACTGGAGGAAGAATACTCAACTTTACTGCGTGTACTTCACCGACAAATACTGTTTGTTTAAATATTGACTCCCCTGTAAATTTGACAAATCTGAACGACGTGTACTGAGGGGCTGTTACTGTAATACTACACTACTACAGTACATGCAGTACTGTCCAAACATCAGCTCTGACACGTGGCCCAATCTCTGGTCTCTCTGGCTCCAAACTTTATAAGTACGCTGATTATGAATAATGAGAAGGAACAGTGGACGCCACGGTCGATTAAAGCAGCAGCTAACGAGTTAGCATGCCACAGTGAAGGTCCAGACTCACAGACTCCAAACCTCAGAACCGTTCTGTCTGCAGATGTTCAAACAAAAAAATAAAACAATTATTAGGATTTTTTATCAAAGCCAGATTATTTTAAAACACTTTTGTATAATATTTACAGGGGGGAGGGGGGGGGGGGTCTTTGACCAGTCTACACAGTCACAGGTGACGCTGCCTCCAGCTGTTCTACGTCTGTGTGTCGGTGACTCACCTCCACCTGACGACACAGTGGAATGTTAATGCCCCGGATCACGGCGCTACAATCGCACAGATCTGAACAGGAAAAACAAACACGCTCTTTCACTTAAAGTCTTCAAAGAGCTTAACGTCAACATTAGCAACAACTCAACGCCACGGTGATTCATGACAGTCGGAGGAAAGAAGTGTCAGTGTAGAAACAACTGCAGTTCAACCTCCTCTGTAGACAACAACCACAACAACAACAACATCCACAACAACAACATCCACAACAACAACCACAACAACAACATCAACAACATCCACAACAACCACCACAACAACATCAACAACATCCACAACATCCACAACAACAACCACATCAACAACATCAACAACATCCACAACAACAACATCCACAACAACATCCACAACAACCACCACAACAACATCCACAACCACCACAACAACAGCAGACATCACAACAACCACAACAACAGCAAACACCAACACTCGCTCCGTCACTCTCTCCTCTGTCTCTGACAGCTGTGACGTTGTTGTTCTTTTTATTTAACACTGAAGATAAATCATTACAGTCATAGTTGATCCAGAGAAGTGAAGCAGAACCAGGATATGTTTCCACAGGTTCCTGTTCTCTGAGCTCAACTGAGGAGCCGTGATATGTAGAGCTTCACAGAGACTGAACTAAACTCAGACTAAAACTAAGCTCAGACTAAAACTAAACTCAGACTAAAACTAAACTTAGACTAAAACTAAACTCAGACTGAACTAAACTCAGACTGAACTAAACTCAGACTGAACTAAACTCAGACTAAAACTAAACTCAGACTGAACTAAACTCAGACTAAAACTGAAACTTAGACTAAAACTAAACTCAGACTGAACTAAACTCAGACTGAACTAAACCCAGAATAAAGCTAAACGCAGACTAAAACTAAACTCAGACTGAACTAAACTCAGACTAAAACTGAAACTTAGACTAAAACTAAACTCAGACTGAACTAAACTCAGACTAAAACTGAAACTTAGACTAAAACTAAACTCAGACTGAACTAAACCCAGAATAAAGCTAAACGCAGACTAAAACTAAACTCAGACTGAACTAAACCCAGAATAAAGCTAAACGCAGACTAAAACTAAACTCAGACTGAACTAAACTCAGACTGAACTAAACTCAGACTGAACTAAACTCAGACTGAACTAAACTCAGACTGAACTAAACTCAGACTGAACTAAACTCAGACTGAACTAAACTCAGACTAAAACTGAAACTTGACTGAACTAAACTCAGACT